AGGAGGTATTGGTCAACAATTACAAGAAAAATTACAGCAAAGAGCAAAGAAATCTGACAACTGGGTTAGTTGAAGTTAATGAAAAATAGTCCAAAATATTGAATGTGCAATTCTTTTATAACTTTTTTTTTTATACAGCTTCTATATAAATAAATTTACACATCAGCTTAGTGAATGGTGGATCAACGCTGCATACTTGGACTACCGCTGGCCTGTGGTGGTATGGTCCTCTCCAGGCCTGGTTTTCCCATTACAAGAATTCAGAACCCTGGATGACCAGCTAAGCTATGCTGCAAAAGTTATTGTTGGAGCTCTTGATTATAAGAAAATGTTGGATGAGTAAGTCACAAGTTTGTGCTTGCATACTGTATCTTTTTCACATGTGTTGAGAATTTAAATAATTTTCATAGGCATTCTTCAGAATAGATAACTTATCATTTTATGCTGTCTAATTTTACAGTTATTTAGGGAAAATGTTATTGTAGGAATTCAGTTGCTGATATATATATTTTGTTTTTTGCAAAACTTGGGATTTCAGGTTTATTATTTAACTTTCTAGCAAAACTGTGCCCATTGATCACATGGGCAAAGACCTCTTAGACATGTCCCAGTACTTCAAGATGTTGGGAACATGCCGTATCCCAGGAGTAACACGGGATTCCATTGTATATCATGGGCAATCTGAAAATGCTCCCAAACATATTGTTGTAGCACATAACAATCATGTAAGTAGTACATTTTATATTTGTATGATAGCTTCCTTTGGAGATTGTGATATATTAAAACAGCAGCATTTTCCAAACATTTCTTATTTTACTGTAAATATCAGGATTTGTTTTTTATTGAAGTTATAACAATCTTGCTATGTTTAATGAAGCATAAATTGAAATATGTATTTTATTTAAAAAACTATTTTTTTTTGTTATCTTTAGTTCTTCAAGATTGATGTATATGGAAAGGAAGGAAAACCCCTGACTATCAATCAGGTGTTGCATCAGTTACGAAATGTGGTTGAACGCTCTACCCATCCAACCAATCCAGTTGGTATCCTCAGTACACAGAATCGAAATGTATGGGGGAAGGCTTATAAAAAACTTAGAAAGGGTAAGTTATCACTTATGGCACCTTATGGAGCTTTTCTTGAAAGGGCTATTTGTATTACTCTCCAATGACCAGTATTTTTATATATTGAAAACAAATAACTATAAAGCAAGTAACTGTTTATTTCTTTGCAGATAAATTGAACAAGGCATCCATTGAAGAAATTCAGAGATCAATCTTCCTAGTAGCTTTAGATGGACCTATTGTCAATCCAACTGGAAATGAGATGACTGATGCAGCATTACTCTGTGTTCATGGCAATGGTTCACAGGGTTATGCTGGCAACAGATGGTATGATAAGACTATTCAGGTAACTGATTTTTTTCTTTTTTTCTTATTTATTGCTGATAGCAGGTGAAGCATAATAGAGCCAAGATTGAATTTCTTAGCTTTGGATTTCTTTAGATGCTAAAATGCACAGGTTTCAGCCAGTTCAAGTGCTTTAATGTTATTACAGGGTTCATAGTTACCATTTTATTGCAAATGCCTTTATAGATGTAGCAGCTTGAAGCTTATTATTTTGTTTCATATATATATTCTTTTTAAGATTTATAAGAAAGTAAGAGTTTGAAAAAGATAATTACAAGTCTGTGACATTTACATTATTGTAAATCTGCATATTGATTTTAGTAAATGTGGGATTTTGCTGCAGTAGATAAATAAATGGTTTAGTAATGCCAGGATGAGTGTCACCAAGGTATACCTAAACGAGAGGAACAAGTGAAATGCAGTGTATTTTATATTTCCTAATGGTCCTACTTTATGAAATTTGTCTCCAGTTTATCATTGGGAAGAAAGGAGCAGTAGGACTAACATATGAACATACACCAGCAGAAGGTCCACCAATTGCCAACTTAATGGATCATATTATGAACTTCATGTAAGATAACTCTTATTTTTGTTGTAAGAAAAAGTGTGTTGTAATGTAAAGCATGTTTTAATTTGTTTATTTTGGAAAGAAACCATTTCCATTTATTATAGTTTTTTTTAATGAATATGATTTTATAGAATAAAAAAGTGAAGCCTCACTAATTTGTCTCTTGTCTTTATTTAGAGAAAGTCATTGCAGATTATAAGGCTTACAGTAGGTTTCATCTTAAGTAATTATATTGAATACTGAAAATGAGGCTAGTTTCAATTTGAGTGTTCTGTTACCTACTGACAATGTTTATTTTTGTTACTATTATGATGAGTATTAGTAGTGGTAACAGTGTTAAAAATGGACCAGTGTAAATCAAATATTTTGTTTTGCATTATCCCTCACCTTTATGTTCTGAAGAGTTGATAAATGTTTATTTCCTTTACTATTGCATTGTAAATTGAAGTTTTGTCAATCATAGTACACTAACTATATTCTTCAGCAATGATTCATATTAGTGAGGTTTCTCTGCAAATAATTTTCATTCACATGCTTTTCTAGTTAAAACTTCATATAATTGAAAGTTTTTTTTTTGAGCTTAGTTGATATATGTGCAAAGTTTTGTTTATAATTGCAAAGTTTTGTTCTTAATTGCTATTAGTGCTACAAAATTTAGCATGCATTTTTTATATTTTAGTTATTGTGTGTGTTTTTTTTTACATTTAGAAGTGTTAGTCTAGCAGCTTTTTCATATTTTTCAAAAGCATGTTACTTTTTTTCTTTCAGAAGCACTGGAAACTTCCAGAAAGAGTAAGTTAATGATGTTTGGCTTTGCTAGCAAAGGAAAGGAATTCTCTGATATTTTGATATGAAAACTATCCCTTTCCCATTTTATTAGTGTTTACACCAAACTGAATATTCCATCTTTGGCTTCAGATTTTTAAAGAAATACACAGCATAATCTGCTTGAACCTTCCTTTCTTTTTCTTTTTCTTTCTTAGAAATCTGTGTATATGATTACCTATGTCAAGTGCATGTGTGTGTTTGTATATATACAAACAAAAGCATTTTACACTCTACAAGACAATATGAATATCAAAGTTAGATGTATGAGAAGTGTCTTTTTTGTCATTAAAACCTCCTTATAAAACAAATTGAAGTATGATACAACTTTATCAGTCATTATAAGAAGTAAGTTTGACTGAAGTAAATTACAGTGCCTATTGTAATACAAAATACAGGGGACATTAAATCAATCTGGTGATTGGGTTAAGTCTGAGTATTAGCAGTATTATCTGACATTACAACCATATATTAAACTATTTCAGGGACAGCAGCATGAAAGAGAGGAAACTCCCAGCAATTGAACTTGACAGACCTCAGCGCTTGATGTTTAACATTAGTGATGACATCAAGCAAGAAATAGAAGATGCAAAGTGTGCTCTTGACAGGTAACATGAGAGATTTGTCTGTATTTGATTTAGTTAGATAGTGAAGACCTATTTAACACTCACATAAGTGGCTTTACTTTCTTGTAGGCAAATTGAGCTTGCGCTGAGAATCAATTGTTGCAGTTGAAATTACGCAAATATACAGACATGAGTGTTATATTGATATTCAGAAGTCCAGTATCAGTCTGTATCATAGTGGTATATAAATTCATATCATCCTAAATTCCATCATCCTTGTGGAGAGTTAAGTCTTTACATTTCCCCAGCAAGATAATAGTAATAAAAAATGTGGGTGGGTACATGTTGTATGACACATGGCTTTCATCTACAGATATTGTAAGTCACCACCTTCCCATGTATTCTTGGAATAGTTTAGATCTTAATCAACTGCAGCATCTGAGTGCTCAAACTCCTGGACATTAAATCAATTCTCAGACAACTTAGAACCCTGAGCCAATGAGCACTCAACAAAAATCATCATTGGGAAACCAGAAAAAATAAATGACTGTCTATATAAATGTGTATGTGTGTATGTGTGTGTGTATGTATATATGCATGTATATATATACATAAAAATACAGATACACATACACACATATATATACATACATACATATTTCTGTGTGTATTTTTATATATACATACATACATACATACATACATACATACATACATACATACATACATACATACATACATACATACATACATACATACATACATACATATATACATACATATATACATACATATATACATACATATATACATACATATATACATACATACGTACATATATATACTATTATGTAATATATATAATATATATATATATATATATATATATATATATATATATATATATATATATATATGTATATAATCTATATTATATATGTGTGTGTGTGTGTGTGTGTGTGTGTGTGTGTGTGTGTGTGTGTGTGTGTGTGTGTGTGTGTGTGTGTGTGTGTGTGTGTGTGTGTGTGTAGTCAGCTGTATAATATCTGATTATGAAATCATTGCATAGGTAGGAATGGCTTGATCTTGAAGGTCATTATAGAAATGCATTGGATATTTTTATTTATTTTACTTATTTATTTTTTCATATTTTCATCACTTTATATCACTAGTTTCCCCTAGTATTCGAACTTTTAAAGATTTTTAATATTTTTTTTCTCTTTCAACAGCCTTGTAGAAGACTTGGAAATGACTTGTTTCCTCTTCACTGGTTTTGGAACTACTTTCATTAAGTCACAAAGGCTTAGTCCAGACAGTTTTCTACAGATGGCTATTCAGTTAGCCTTCTACAGGTAGGACTGTCATAAATTTACTAGATATTTGGATAAAACTAATTGAGATTTTTTTATGGAATGGGCAAAATATCTCCCTTTGTGGCTTAGGAGGGAGACTAAGGCCCAATGTTGGGGATCTCCCCCATCTTTTCTTCTCCCTCTATCCTTTTTCTTTTCCCCTGTCAATTACCTGACTTATGAGAGCTGTGTTAAAAGGATAAATACCTGACTTTGTGCCACTCTTGAACTGCCTCAGGGAGCCATGGACACCCATTGTTAATTGTCTAGCCCTTACCCCTCCTGGAGACCCTGAAGGGTGGACAATTCCCACCTCTAAAAACCTTTGGACAACCCTTTTTAGGCCAGCCAAGTGGAATTGATTTTTTTGTGATTCCTCCTATAGCCCCTTTGAAAATACCTACCTCTTCCAACAGTGTCTCAAAAAACATGTAGGCAAAGTTTCTTTCTGCAGCTGTCCTAAGCTCATGCACTATCTACCCTGGTTGACCTCACTGGCAAACCTATTCCTGCCCAACCTTGCTCTTTCCTTAATACTTAATACTTTACAAAACTGTGTCCATCTCCCTGGCTGATTGCCCTGTCCACAACAAGGTTTGGCCTTTGTGAAAATGGCCTCCAAGCCTGCTTTGTTGACTATGATACAGTATCATATTGCTAAGATTACCTTCCTTAGACATAACATTCTCCGTGAGTTCTGCCCTGTCTGATTTCATTGACCACAACCCTATCAATGTCAGAAATGTCAATGCTTTGGCCACTTTGTCGAGCACTGTTGCTCCAAAGCCTGCTGCCCCCTATGTGTCTAACCTTGTCATTACTGTTCAGATTGCCCTGCTTACAAGGTTGCTTATAGAAACTGCCCTGCTTACAAGGTTGCTAGTTCTCAGATACAATCTTGGTCTCACTCTCCTAGAGGCCAGACAGGAAGCACACTGACAAGGCTTTTCTAGCTACTGAACAAGGCGCCTATTTTAGCCAGGTAACTAGTGGCTCTTACCATTCTCCTCTCTTCTTTTCCAAGAAGTGAATCAAATTGTAGACTCCCATTTCCTTCTCCTAATTCTCTACAAAATTGTACAATTCCCATTTTTCTTCTGAGATCCATTATTCTTTACAATCATACTGCAACACCCATGAAGGCCCTGATGTTATACATTAGGGTATGTTATGACACCTCTCACTTACCTCCTTGTCCTTTCTAGTAAAATTCAGCAACATTTGGAGGACCAGAAACATTCCTCCCCTTATACTACCTTTCCTAAAACCCAATAATCTTACCATTCCTGAAGATCCCATTGCTTTTACAAGCTGCTAATGCAAACTATTGGAAAAGATGGTTCAATCAATCAGTGGGGGCTACCACTGATGGGGGCACATAGCTGCATCCACCCTTGGCTTTCAGCAACAGGATTCCTCATGTTGAGCTACCAAGCAGGTCGTAGGCCCAATTTTATTTCCTCATAACAGGTCTGGTTGATCTGTCCAAGCCACAACTTCCTAAATTGTCCCAGGGGTCTCCCCCACCTGGGATTGTCTCATGAAAAGACAAACTGATAGGCAGGGTTATCCACAGGGAAATGAACTAGGTGCCAATATAGCCTGAATTGGTGGTCCCAGATTATGTCCAATGCCAATTTCACAGTAGCCATTGGTTGGACACTTGCGCCTGCCAACTGTACCCTGTAATCCAGGACTTGTTACAAAAGGCATCGAGATGCCATCCTTCCATAGAGCAAAACTGGCAATATCAAAGCCTGTCATTCTGCATAGGTACTGGCATCTCCTAATGCTCTTGTTGACTGAGTTCATGGCTCCTGTTGCCAGACTAATCCATCTACTGACTCCCTGATCAGACAATCCAGAGACATGGACTGCACTACCAAGGTATGTGCAGAGGTCTGTGACTTTGATATTGCCCAGTGTTGCTCTGCAGTGACTTTGGATAGTAGTTCTACTCATTATCCAGTCCTTGCAAGTATTAAAAAGTGTTGGTGCAGGTGCTTAGCCTTGACCCACTCCAGAGTTAACAGGGAAGCAGCTTGACAGACCCCGCCATGCTTCACAGCACTTTCAGTACCAGTATATAGGGTTGCTATCCCATAATCTGTGTTGGAATTCTACAAAGTTTCAAGATCTACCATAGTAATTTGAAATGCCCTGAGTCAAACACCTTCTTAAGGTTGATGTAGCCCATGACCAAACTTATTATGGCATTCAAAGCACTAGGATTCCTGGGGTATACTGAGCTGTGTGATGCCACAGTAGTTGCTACAGTCCCAGTGATGATCCTTCCCCTTCCATAGAAGGATGATTGTGCCCTTCAACAGCTCCATGGGAATGGAACCAGACTGCCAGATGGCAACCAGGACTGTAAACAAGACCCTATGCCATAGGGGTCCACCCTCAGCCTTTAGCAGATCAGCAGGAATATCACATATATCCCATAACTTTCCCAGCCTTCAGCTAACCTCAGTTAGGGGATGAGGTTCCTTGTTGATGGGTAAGATTAGTACACCACTTGATACCTGGTGCAGCTGCTCAAAATACTTAGCCATACTGATTGTACTTCTGCTCACCTTCAAGAGGGCAATCACCTCAACTTCCTCCTGCTTCAGTTCCCCAATAGCTTGAGTAATCGATTATCTTGCTGCAAAGACTGGATGTTCCAAGCTCCCAACCACTTCAGTTCCCTTGATAGCAGGGGTAATCAATCATCCTGCCACAAAGACCAGATGTTCCAGATTCCTACCCAGATAGACCACCTGAGGTTAAGCCTCGAGCAGTTGCTTTGGGTGGACGCCACCTCTGCCACCCCTACTAGTGTTGCTCCATATAAAGAGGGGTGGCAGGTTGTGAATGAATAGTAATTATTAATAACATTTATCATTGTTGTTATTTATACTGCTACTACTACTACTACTGCTTATAATTATAATTGTAATGATAATGATTATTATTATTATTGCTCCTCAGAATCCACAAAGAACCAGGGGCTCACTATGAGTCTGCATCAACCAGGAAGTACCTCCATGGTCGCACAGAAACAATCCGTTCTTGCTCAACAGAGTCAATAGAATTTGCCAAGACAATGTTGGATGAGAATGCCTCTGCTGATGAGAAGGTCTCTTCTTTACGAAAGGCTGTTGAAGGACACAAAAATTATGCGAAGGATGTAAGTTGTGTTGTCAGTCTTTGCAGGGTTTTCTATTATTTTAACCTTTTTTTAAAGAAAACTATAATATTAAAATTGACTTGAAGTTGAAAATTTTGAATTCATTCATATTTATTTGTTGTATTTGTAGGCTGTCCGCGGATATGGTGTTGACCGTCACCTCCTTGGCTTGAAGCTTTGTGCAATTGAGGCGGGCATGGATGTGCCCACTCTATTTATGGATGTTGGTTATATCAGAAGCTCCCACATGCGTCTGTCCACCAGTCAGGTAGTAATTTTTTTATGGTGTTGACCGTCACCTCCTTGGCTTGAAGCTTTGTGCAATTGAGGCGGGCATGGATGTGCCCACTCTATTTATGGATGTTGGTTATATCAGAAGCTCCCACATGCGTCTGTCCACCAGTCAGGTAGTAATTTTTTTTTTTTTTTTTCTTTTTTCTTTTTTTTTTACCTTTCCTTTCTTTCTAAGCTTGTAAACAACCTTCTGCACTGCAGTATATGTAAAATAGTCTGTTTAAGTGTGGTAATAAATTTTCATGTTTTTTAGGTCCCAGCACGCTGTGAAGCCTTCATGTGCTTTGGTCCACTTGTACCTGATGGCTACGGCTGTTGCTACAATCCACGTCCAGATTCAGTTGTATTTGGAACATCTGCATTCAACTCTTCTCCAGAAACAGATTCGGCAACTTTCCGTGCAGCTTTGGAGGAAAGTTTAATGGATATGCATGATGTACTACTGAAGAGTGGACTGAAAGCAAAACTCTAGTGAGCAAATACCATTAAATGATATAGTTCTCTTACATTACATTGTTCAACAATCTGAAGAAAAACTTATACTAAATATTTTATAATGTTACTTTGGCCTGGTTATAAAGTTCTTACACTTAGATATTAAATCTTATTTGAAAATCTGTTATGAATTCATACTTAATGATGTACAGCAAAATAGATTGCTCTTAAAGCTGAGATTTGGATTAGAGTAGAGATTTATTTGTGTAGATTATTTACAGAAATTATTTGAAACCAGTGGAGTCTGGATTTTAATTAGTTGTATTTTTATTTACATGCAAACTGAAAGAAAGGTATAAATTAGTTCTGCTTGTTTTATCTCAGAATTATTGTACAAAACAGTGTATTATGAATAGTTATTACTTGTATACTGTGTGAGGTTTCTAGTTACTTCTGTATCATCAGTGTAAAACATGTCTTAAGTTCTTTTACTGTGGTATGAAGGATGGACTCATTGCTGTACACATTTTAACTCTTTATTGTAGGAGAAAATTGTTATGCCAGTAGTACATATAGTTAGTTGTACTTTGTTAATATTTGTGTGATATACCAGTGAGTTTTTTCATATTAAAGTGCAGTTTCCTAATTTTGTTTACTTATTTTTAATGTTATTATTGCAGACCTTATCTTTAAGAAAGTGAGCAACTATCAGCATGGTCATAGCAAAGAATATAATTACTTTTTTTTATAATTTTCAAAATGCACATATTTTGTTTTGGGATAAACCAATTGATTTTTTTTCAGAAGTATAATTGCTTTAGTTGCAATTATCAGTTTATACATATTTTTATTTGATAACTGAAAATGGACCAGGAAGAAATAGGCACCAATTCTGTAGATAATCATGACTTTCACATCCATCATATCCTCTTTGAATGAAAAACTTTGAGCTTTATTATTATTATTACTTTTTTTTCGTTTATTATTATTTTTTCCTAACACTGATTTGGTTGAATGAGAATTTGTTTTCATTTTCTTATGTATTAATTGTTCATGTTAAGAAAAAGAGCAAATAATTGATAGCAAAGATATTTTGGTATACTCTTTAAGTGTTCCTTTTAAAGGAGAGGTTATGAAAACCTAGCTGAGCAAAATAAGTTATATTCTTCATATATATGATTACCAGAGATTGAGTTTGTTTAGAAGGATCAAGGGAATTTTGATTGTTTACGAAAAGAAAATGAAATGGCTTGCCTACATTTGGCACAAACCCGTCTTCCAAAAACAATTTAATAGTTAAATAAGCTTTGAAAAGTAAAGAAATATAATATGATAGAAAATAGAGTATATAGGAAGAGAAGGCTTTCCAACAATGTGTACTTTCTATAATTTTATCCAGATATGAAAATCATATGTACTTACTAATATATTTTTTTATTATTGGTACATGTATATTCTCAAGACACAATAAGAACTTTAACATTTTTTTGAGTGATGCTTTACCTTTATGTATTTTAGAGGTGCATTTCAAGAATGTTTTATACCTGCAGCAAACTCTTTTTCAGGAGTTAAGACAACATTCTTTTGGGACTTTGGCTTTTACCATCACCGCTCTTGATTAATGGGATATTCTTCCTAAAACTAAGCTTATTAAAGCTCATGCTGGCTTATTGGAAGATATACCATATCCATGCAGAATTTAGATGTTTAGTAGGTAACATATTTCGACTAGAATTTACTTCCCTCCTTACAAAATAATAGTGCCTTGTAATAGCAGCAGATATTTTGAAATTGTTTTGATAAATGATTTTTCTTGGACCCTGTAAGGTAGTATAGTGTATCTCGCAAGATGTGGCCATTAGGAACTCATGGTTAGTTTTGAAAAAGTAACATCAGGCAAGCAAACCTTCTCAGGAAGTGCATAGGGAATAGGATAAACCTACTTTGGTATTTAACCCTTGCTGCCTGAAAATGTAGTATCTACTGTAGTTTTGTTTTGTGACATGTCTTCACACACAGATGGCTCCACCAAAGAGGAAATTAGTATATCTCCTAACCTCACCTGATTTCACTTTTCCATTGTTTTTTGGGAAAAATGTTTATTATTACTAATGCTATCAATTCTAATGCTGTTATTATTATTGTAGACATTATAGTTATTATAAAAGGTATTTTTTATTTATCACAATCCTCCAACCTAGTCCTATTTAATTCTTTGATTCAATTATGCCTATTGTAACATTTGAGAATTTATAGTTGTTTTGCTTAGCAAATGATATAAATGAGTTTTGGTAACTGTTGACTGATGGCAAGTCCATATTACTGCAGCCACCCCTAAGTCACTTATAATGTTATTAAGATTACTAATAGCAATATATGATAAGAGTATTTCCAGAAATTAAGGAAAATGGTGAATGGATGAGATAAGCAGTACTTGTTATTGACGCTTTGGTGACTATGTACATGTGAAGCCATCTATGTGCAAAGACAATTAATAAAATGACTGGCAATGGGCATGACATGTACTGTACGCCAGCTTCAGTAGGTTAAAGGAAGAATACGATCCTTATACTTACACAGTAATACTGTTGAGTGCAGCATTTTTGCATCAAAATAGTAGGGGATGAAATAAAATACTACCAGTTAGGAAATTGCCATAGAAAAGGAACCAGTTTACAAAACATGAATTTCCAACATTATTTGTCTTCCACATTATCAAACAGACTTTAACAGTAAAGGAGGAGATCATAATTGCTTTAAAGCTCTCTTGAATTGTAAAACTTGGGTACTGAAAAATAAATCTTTTGCACAAACAAATATATTACATGGTTTAGGAGTGTATATATTAACTCTTATAAAAAAAATAGGATTCAATCTGCGCCATGCACATATCAAAGCACAAGTAGAATGTATCACAGAAAATTACTGTGCCATGTGTGTTTACCTATTTTATTTCCAACAGAGAAGGATTTTAAGTAGTATATCCAATGTACATAATTTCTAGAAATAAGGCATCCCACTTCATCAGTGGGATCACATAAAAAATGTATTTCTTTATCCTGTTTAGAATAGTTTTTATCTGTGCCGCATGATCTCCCTCCCTCCTTCCCATCCCCTCTACAACAAAAGAATATTAAGATAATGAGAATATGCACTTCAAATGAATAATCATTGTTTTATTCTGTGCAAGCAATAATTCACTTAACATTTCAGAAGACTGTCTTGTTTGCATGTAAAAACAGACTTGTGAAATTGGAAGAACTTTACCATTTTTTTTCTTATATATATATATATATTTTTTTTACATATTACATAAGCAAACATTATTGAGTTGTAGGTTGATGTGCTTTTTGGCGACTTCCTAATGGATTAAAAAGACCCCAAAAGAAGTTATTTAGAGAGATATAAATTTGTATTCAAATGATGGATTGCACTTGTAGTGCTTTCATAGTTGAATAGTTTGTAAACACATGTTGGGTTCAAAAGCAGCTGGTATCTGCAACTATTGTTGCAACTGATGTTTGTTTTGAATATGCTGATTATCAAGATATTTGATGATGATTCTGTGCCATTCACTCCCCCCCCTCTCTCTCTCTCTTTCTCTTTCTGTCTCTCTCTCTCCCTCCACCCTCACTCCCTCCCCGGGTATTAAGTCTTGAATTCAGATATAGGGCCTACAGTCACACAATTTTTAAAGATAGTTACCAAACATTTGCGGTATTATGGTGATCCGGTTAAACTTACCATTAAACGAACCAAAGCGCCTAAATATAATGCGCTTTGTTTAAAACGGAACATAGGTAAAGCAACACGATCTGCACGTTTTAATGAATATATAGATATTTGACCAGTTCTTGTAAAGTCTTCGTGCCAGGAATTGCGTTGGGTGACAAGAGGACTGGGTGTGTGGGTACTCGCAAGCCCATGCCCGCATCCGCTGTCTAGGTCAACATGTCCGAGATCATGGTTAATCACGCCGATCCCTTGTTTGCTTCTGCCTTGCGTGGGCATCGAGTGTGTGGAAGTGGTAGCTAACAAAATTAAAAGGCCTGTGCGATTAAGTTTTGATGAGCATGGTGGTTCTGGTTAAGTACCAAGTTTTTAAAAGAAATTATGTTGTTCTAACCTAACCTAGGAGTAAATATGGGAATGCACGAAGATTAACTCAGTGGCAGCTCGTAGTTACTGAGAGCCTCCCCCCTCTACAACAAAAGAAAATTAGATAATGAGAATATGCACTTCAAATGAATAATCATTGTTTTATTTGTGGCAGCAATAATTCACTTAACATTTCAGAAGACTGTCTTGTTTGCATGTAAAAACAGACTTGTGAAATTGGAAGAACTTTACCATTTTTTTTCTTATATATATATATATATTTTTTTTTACATATTACATAAGCAAACATTATTGAGTTGTAGGTTGATGTGCTTTTTGGCGACTTCCTAATGGATTAAAAAGACCCCAAAAGAAGTTATTTAGAGAGATATAAATTTGTATTCAAATGATGGATTGCACTTGTAGTGCTTTCATAGTTGAATAGTTTGTAAACACATGTTGGGTTCAAAAGCAGCTGGTATCTGCAACTATTGTTGCAACTGATGTTTGTTTTGAATATGCTGATTATCAAGATATTTGATGATGATTCTGTGCCATTCACTCCCCCCCTCTCTCTCTCTCTTTCTCTTTCTGTCTCTCTCTCTCCCTCCACCCTCACTCCCTCCCCGGGTATTAAGTCTTGAATTCAGATATAGGGCCTACAGTCACACAATTTTTAAAGATAGTTACCAAACATTTGCGGTATTATGGTGATCCGGTTAAACTTACCATTAAACGAACCAAAGCGCCTAAATATAATGCGCTTTGTTTAAAACGGAACATAGGTAAAGCAACACGATCTGCACGTTTTAATGAATATATAGATATTTGACCAGTTCTTGTAAAGTCTTCGTGCCAGGAATTGCGTTGGGTGACAAGAGGACTGGGTGTGTGGGTATTCGCAAGCCCATGCCCGCATCCGCTGTCTAGGTCAACATGTCCGAGATCATGGTTAATCACGCCGATCCCTTGTTTGCTTCTGCCTTGTGTGGGCATCGAGTGTGTGGAAGTGTCAGCTAACAAAATTAAAAGGCCTGTGCGATTAAGTTTTGATGAGCATGGCGGTTCTGGTTAAGTACCAAGTTTTTTAAAGAAATTATGTTGTTCTAACCTAACCTAGGAGTAAATATGAGAATGTACAAAGATTAACTCACTGGCAGCTCGTAGTTGCTGAGAGATTGTAATATAAGAAAAGGTTCTATTGAATGTGCAGACCGTGTACATTAAATGCAAAGTCTGTTTTAAAAATTTCGTGTAAAAAGTCCAAGATGGAGTATGTATGATATAGTCGGGACAAAAAAAATAGTGATGTAAGAGCGCTATATATGAATATCTTATAACAAAGGTGCCATAATGTCAAAGATAACAAAATATAATGGAATATGTTTACAGACTTTACTTCTGTGTACTTATAGTTTGGTCGTGCCTTCGAGGAGAAGTACTGCTGTGCGCCTCATCGTTTTAGCTGAGTCACGACTATGTAGGTCATCACAGTCGTCGACCCCCCCCCCCCCAAGCCAGGGAGATTTATGGGGCGTTCTTCCTTTCTCCCGTGATGTGTAATTGCTGGTCGACTCGGCGGGGGTCACCCATCATCACGATTTTTACTAATCAATCAAAATCCTTGATGTACAGTGCATAGCTAAGTCAAGGGCTCAGTGCGAGGACTCGACATGAAAAAATAGCGCTAATCTGATGTAGTCTGGTATTCTACCCGTAAGTTTTTTGACAGCCGGCGTCGTCTCAAAAGTTGTGTAGTACTGTTTTCACTCTTCAGGTAATTTTCCGCAAAACTGTAAATTTCGTGTTATTTTTTTATTTGGCTTTATCATATTTGAACATATGGCATAAATTGACATCCATACATCTTAAAATTGGCAATGTAATTTTTTAACAAAAATATCTCGTTCATCAGAATGAAAATATTAACATACACTTGGTGAGCAAAAAATGCATAGCCTTCACGTTCCTTCAAAACAACGACCCCCGTATTGGTATGACAAGAAGGCGCTAAAAATGTATCTTCCCATAGCAAACTTAACGAATTCCTCTACCCAACGCAAACACGTTCTCTCATTTTAACTGATCACATTCTTTCACCAGAGTTCTAAAATAAAAAAAATAAAAAAAACTTATCGGCTTCTCGTAGTATGTTCTGCCTTCGATTCTGAGCAAATATATCTGTCGTTACAGTATTCTGGTTTGACACATGATGAAGAGCTGTCAAGCGCTTGGAAATACTCGTAAAACTTTTAACAGATACGGATAAATAATTCATGTGGTTGTGCTTGACAGAGGAAATCTGCAATACACAGAAACACACATACACACATACTTACAAATACGTCTATGTATATATGTACATACCCACACACGCATGTACGCAC